GCCCGGGAGCAGAGCCTTTTACCTCGACGGCGCGCGCCCCTGAGCCAATCAGACCTCGCGGTGCCCCTGACGTCACTGGCCTGCGCCAGCGCCGTGCAGTCAGGGAGGCCTCTTCACCCAAGGCAGCAAACTGCAAACGGGACCTTTGGTGCTCTGGCTGGACTTTTGGCCTGAGTCCCGTGAAACTAGTCGCCTCAATAAAGTCTTAAATCTTGAGGGATGTTGGCTACAGACCCCCTGATCGGTGCCGGGAGGGGATCTGAGGGGCAAATGAAGAAGGCGTCGAGTAGAGCTGCGGACCCCAGAGATGGCTGCCGCTCCCTGAGAAAACGGCCAATCCAATGAAAGAGATGATGTGACGTCACTAAGTGCTAGGCAGATTGTGTTGCCTAAGGATTGGGTAAAAGCGAGGGGGTGGGGACAGTGGCTGGAAAAGGCGGGAATATGTCTTTTCAGGATAGCCGTGCCAGCTTTCCGGGAAGTTCCAGATTTAGGAACTTTCTGTTCCAGAAGGATCTCAGGATGGTTTCTGAGAAGGGAATAAAAAGACTTGGAGTAAATACCCGACAATGGTTCTGAGTGGGGTCCACCTCATCTGGAAGCATAGCCTAAGGCCCAGCGGTTCTCAACCTATGGGTCGCGACCCCTTTGGCAGTCGAACGACCCTTTCACAGGGGTCGCCTAAGACCATCCTGCATATCAGATATTTACATTACGATTCATCACAGTAGCAACATTACAGTTATGAAGTAGCCACAAAAATAATTTTATGGTTGGGGGTCACAACATGAGGAACTGTATTAAAGGGCCAGAAGGTTGAGAACCACTGGCTGAGCCCTTTCCCTGAGAGAATAGCCAATTGCAAGCCACAGAGTAGTATGACATCACTTGGTGCTAAGCAGAATTCCATCCTACCCAACAGCTGGGTACCTACAGGCCACAGGGATGGGGTTAAAAAGGCTGAACACAGTAAATACAATGGAATGGAAGGTTGTCATGGCCTAGGATCTTCTTTGCCACCCTGACCTCTGCCCCCTGCACATAAAATCAACAACACAATTTCCATTTGGGTGACCTTTGCAGGAAAGCCACTAAGAGAGTCCTTTGAGGAAGTCTCAGAAGAAGGGATATGACTTAAAGTCCATTTGGGCTTAGGGACCAACCCTGTTCCTTCCTTGAGAGAAAGTGGCCTCTCAGCCAATGGGGAGCTAGGGTGGGCCATAGTGTTATAGAGAGAATGGGTCCTCCAGCAATAAATGTCCGGGGTATGCTCCTGACGAGACTGAAAAGGGCAGGACACAGCCTCCAGGAGGACACTGATCCCCAAGCTACCAATAATCTATACTAATAATAGCCTAGGTGGTCATCACGCCCTCATGTCGTCACAAGATGGCTGCGTGAGGCCTGGGGTTCCTGTGGCTCTGTGCAGCGTGGAGGAGGCGGGTCACAGCGGAGGAGGTGGGTTGTGGCAGGGGAGGGCAGTTGGGAGTGATCAGGCTGGCAGGGGAGGGCAGTTGGGAGCGATCAGGCTGGCAGGCTGAGCGGCACTCCCCGCTGTGGGAGCACACTGACCAGCAGGGGGCAGGTCCTGCATTAAGCATCTGCCCCCTGGTGGTCAGTGCACGTCATAGCGACCGGTCGTTCTGCCATTCGGTCTATTTGCATATTAGCCTTCTATTATACAGGATAGTTGTCTTTTTTTTTTTTAACCATTTCTCCATCTCTTCCACTAGAATGTGAACTCCATGGGAGCAGAGATTTTGTTTTGTTCATGGCTGTATCCCTGGTATCTAGAAAGGTGCATGACACATGGTATATGCTCAATAAATACTTATTGAGAAACATCGACGAATGGTCTAATTGGCAACCCAACTGAACCTGAAGTGATGCCTCAAACATCTGTAGTGTTAGGAGCCATAGTAAACCCCAAGTAACTGTGGCTTAAGCAAGACAGAAATTTATTTCTCTCTTGCATAGCAGAGGTTTGGAGATCGTCAAGCCACCAAGAACCTACTAGCTTTCCTCTCCACCATCTTCAGAACGGCCCTTGTCCTCGCGGCCCAAGATGGCAGATAGTGCTCCAGCCATCATGTCTGTATCCTTGCAGCAGAATGAAGGAAGGAAAAGAAACAAAAGGCCAACACAGCTGATTTATAATGATGTCTTCCAAAAGCAGCTACACCATCCCTCTGTTCTCATTGTCCAGAAGTTAGTCACATGACCAGACCTAGCTGCAAGAGAGGATGGAAACATAGACCCCAATGCTGGGCTCTCTTGGACCCAGCTAAATAGGCTGTTTTGATAACCAGGAAAGAGAAAAGAAAGGATATTTGGAAAAAATTAGCTTACCAGGTTTATGTCAGACCCTCAACCAATCAGAATCCAGAATATACTACAACATCATGGGGTGCTAGGCAGAACAGTTTTTGGCGTTTGCGGGGGTGAGGGGGGGGCGGAGGCTAAGATTGAAAGTGGTTGATGTCTGGCCCTGACATTCCATCGCACCTTCTGCAGCCCTAACCTTGGATTTGTGTTTGTTTTGTTCCCTGCTGTTACCATAGTGCCTAGAACATAATAGGCACTCAATAAATATCTGTTGAATAAATAGGCAGGTCTTATTATTATTCACATTATACAGATGAAGGAATTGAGGTACCCAGGGGGACTCCACCTTGAGATGAGGGTAGGGATTCAAACGCTGGTGTGTTTGGCCAGAATTATTATTATTATTTTTAGATAAATTTTTAAAAATTTTTTTATTATTGATTTCAGAGAGGAAGGGAGAGGGAGAGAGAGATAGAAACATCAATGATGAGAGAGAATCATTGATTGGCTGCCTCCTGC